AAGTTTTACCATATGGAGCACCAAAGAGGTTCTGAATAAATCTTCAAATTTCTGAGGCCACTTCCATTAATGTAACTCTAATGTGAGTGCTTCTCCCTGTTTAGGCCATGTCCTTCAAAAGACACTCGATCTAAATTTTTCTAATTCTCGACAGTAAGTACTAGCATGGACAATTCAATTTTATACTCTACTCAAAAGTTACCTGTGATCTAAAACTGCAAGTATTATTTTTAATTTTCTAAAGGAATAAATAAATGTAGAAACTCTTGGCAAGCAGAAAAACCAGTTACAAAATTCTTCTAGTGAATTGCCTTCATTCTCATAGCATCTGTACTCACAGCCCTTGTTAAGGTTATTTACAACATAGCCAACCTTTTAAAAGAGGGGGAAAAAAGAATAGCTATAATATTATCACAAGCTTCTTACCAGCTATGATCGTTGTTGCTTGTCGCCTCACATTATTTTTATCCATGTATTCACCATAGTCTACTTTCCCTTCCACGTAAATTCGAGACCTGATATAAATAAAATTAACATTTTTCAGTCAAGATTCTAATATGCTTTACAAGAAAGTCAGGTCACAGGTGATAATGAGTATACACCTCTGGATATAATATGGATAAAAGGATGAAACATATAATCATATATAACCTCATTTTTCCTACTACTTCTCAAAGTTCAGAATTAGGAGTACTAAAACAGAATGTACAAACAAACTCAAGTTAGTTTTACCTCCAAGTAAAAAGGACCATGTTTTCATCCTTCAGCTATTTATCTAATGGAAGTTAAAAAAAAAAAAAAAAACTGTTCAAAGAACAACTCAGTGGCATCCTTTAAATTTCAAAGAGTGATTTCCAATGTGTCATTTTCCTTGACTTTAGATTTTGGAGTCCCTACCAAATTCAATTTTCACTTATTCATCAATTCCTTTCTATAGTGAGGTTTATAACCTTATTCTCAAAGGACTTAGATTATTAAAATTCAAAACAGAGGTTTTCAGCTCAGTGTATCGGAGTTAATTACTACGATAATTTCTATACTATCTAGAACTAGACAACCATACGATGATTTTAAAGGGTAGAAAATGACCATAATGGCACCAGTTTTCACAGTCCACCACCACCAAAAAAGAAGACAAAACTAGTGAAATGATCAGGTGCCAAAGAAAACACACAAACACACACACAAATAGATTCGTCCATCAGTAGGTGAAACTGCAAGTAGACACTTTCCTTGAAATAGTCTATATGTGTTTGTGTGTATTTATGCACATATTCATACATACATACCTAAAGGGCAATGGAGATACATACAAAGAAAAGTTACGCAGTTATTGAAAACAGAAATTTTAGTCACTCTGTTGAAATGATTTTTCAAGAAATGTTTTGACTATTTCTACAAAACAAGTAAATTTCTAAACATATTAACTATTAACACAACTGCTGTTAAACACACCCTGTCCTACAAGTTTGGAAAAGACATTTTTTATACATACTCAATCCAAGTATTCTAAAAGGGAACTATTAAGCCTATAGAAAATTACCGAATATAAAATAACTACTGTGAATATCATCACGATAACTCAATGTGTCAGGATTCAGACATTCCAGATCCTCCACTAAGGACATCATGTGGATGCCAAGAGACAAGACACCACTCTCAGAATCCCTGGCCACAGAGGCAAGGTAACTCCTAAAAGCTTGTATTCCACTTACCCAAATGGCACTTAATACACTCTGCCTTCTCTCCTGCTTCATCTACTTCTATTATGTACATGCCTTGCTTGCCCTAAATTGTAAGTTCTTAGGAGGCTAAAACCATGTTTACATTCACAGGCTAAAACCTGTGAATTAGTCACACACATAGCAACACGCCATGCACAGTATCAAGGACTTAATAAACAGCTCAGGGAAAAAGGAGAAGTTACATGTTTTTGCCATGAGAACACTTGCTACCAATTAATTCTTTAAAACCGTGGCCCCCAAACCCTGGGCCATGGACAGGTACCAACCTGGGGCCTGTTAGGAACCGGGCCGCACAACAGGAGGTAAGCTGCTGGCAAGCTTCATCTGTATTTACAGCAGCTCCCCGTTGCCTGCATCAGCACCTGAGCTCCATCTCCTGTCAGATCAGCAGCAGCATTGATCCTCATAGGAGCACAAACCCTACTGTAAACTGCACACGCAAGGGATCTAGGTTTCACGCTCCTTATGAGAATCTAATGCCTGATGATCTGAGGTGCAGCTGAGACAGTGAATACCACTCCCCACCCCCCCTACACACACCCCCATCCCCCGTCAGTGGAAAAACTGTCTTCCATGAAACCAGTCTCTGGTGCCAAAAAGGTTGAGGACTGCAGCTTTAAAACACTGAATCAGTAAGATCCTTCCTTCTTCGACTTACCCCTTTTTCACATACTGATATGCCACGTCTCTGAGGCCTGGCCGGAATACTGATATTCTGTGCCATGTTGTCTTTTGACTGACATCACCTAGATAACAGGAATAGGAAATATGGTTACAAATGCCAGCACACAAAACAAATGCTAACATACAACACGCCCAGCAAAATCAGTGTCACACTTTCTAAGAACAGAACAGAATTAAAGACATACCCTGTCTAAAAGTAGCTTATCTCTAATTAGATAATTGGCAATAAATAATGTCTGTTTATTGCTGATAAAATTAAAACTCCAATCTTTTCCACTCACCAATTTGGTATTCTTCACTGTCCCCTGATCGCCACATCTCATTTGTTGCTAGAGAAAATATCGTGACTGGATTTTTCCCTTCCACCTGTCTCATGACAGGGTCCTGACCCACTCGCCCAAGTAACTGCACACGATTCAGGGCTAAAATGCAATGTAGAGATAAAATTAGATTAGGAACCTGTTATGGACTGAATATTTGTACCCGCTCCAAGTCATATGTTGAAGCCCTAACTCTCAATGTGCTGGTATTTGGGCCAGGGGAGGGTGGGGAGGCCATTTAGAGATAATTAGGCTTAAATGAGGTCATGAGGGTGAGGTCCCCATGATGGGGTTCGTTTTATTATAAGAAAAAGAGGAGACCAGAGCTTCTCTCTCTTTGCCATGTGAAGATACAGTAAGAAGGCCACCATCTACAAGCCAGGAAGAAAGCCCTCACCAAGAGCCCTATCATGTTGGAACCCTGATCTTGGGCTTCCAGCCCCCGGAACTGTGAGAAATAAATGATGATATTTTGTTATAGCAGCCCAAATTGACCATTAAAGAAATCCACACCTGAGATTGAGAGTAATGTCCAGAAGATGAACAGCTATAAATACTACTTCAACTTCAATCTCTGTATTAAGCAAAACCCAAGTTCTACAAGATCAGAAAATACATTAAAGGGGTGAATAAAGGGAGAGTGGGAGAGAAAAAGAGGGAGAAAATAGTCATACAGAAAGCAACCCCACAAAACCAACTTTAAACTCTTTATCTTTAACTATTCTTCAAAATGTCTTTTTTAAATGTATGTGGAACTAAAAGAACAAATCTGAGATCTGAAAATCTTTATAAATACAACAGAATACTTCTGTGCAAGAGTATCTTTCATAATCTCAGCCTAATAGAACACAACCCTGGAGGACTGAGATAACCAAACATGACACAAGGAAATTCTTACAGCTGGACAGTGATGACAAAATTGAGCAGTATCTTCCTGATAAGAGCCCAATTTATACTAGGTACCTGTAGCCCAATGGGACAAAGCCAAGATCTTAGGAGCAAACACAAGCCAAAGACAGGATGATAATATAGTTAACCCAAACAACGTACCTCTTCTACAGCACATTTGAGAATATTAGCACATTACTATAAATAACATTTTAAACTTGGAAATTAGCTACTTACATCTTTCAAGAACCAAATTGCTAGCTATTTCAGACTCATGTCTTACAAACTGATGAAGTACCTAAAGGGGAACAAAAGAATAACATGGCTTTAATTTGTTAAAAGCAAATGCAAGCAGAAAACCTGCTCATATTCACTCACCATTTAGTTAGTAGTTCCTGTAAGTTCCAGAAGAGAAGAGAAGCTCTTCCCATATTTTCCCAACACACAGTGCCAGAAGAAACAAGCAAACACTTTAAGAGCAGGTGACTGCAGGAGCCCAAAGGTACTAGAAAGTATGCCCAAGCCTTAATTTACAGTCCTCTCCTGTTTCTTTTGTGGCAATCCTCCCAATTATGGCACTTCTGTTTGCACACAAAAGGTAAAATCAAAACAGTACCACTTTCACAATAGAGTATGATAGTGATTATAAATCTAACCTGTACCTAAGGGTTGCTGCGAAACATTTTAAAAATCCAGCTTTCATTAGCAGGAGACACAGAAAGAAGCAAAAAATGCTATATAGATTCAATAGACTAGACCAACCGACCTTTTTTTTTTTAAATATAAACAACTGGTATATTAATTCTATATTTTGGCCATAATAGGCTTTAAAAATTAATAAATTTAGATTTATCTGAGTACAGATTTAGTCCATCATTAGACTAAAGGAGAGTAGAAAGAGATCAATCCTTTATAATTAATGTATCAATAAGTAGATTCATTAATTACATAAAAAACAATGATCTAACAATTGTTAGGATGTGTGGAATAAATGCAATGTCATTACTTAAGTCTCACTCTCAGGCATAAAGGATAGTTTAGAGAATAAAAAATAGGTTAAATTCCAACAAAATAATACATTCCTTCCATTAACAACGTGAATGTCTTTCTGACATAGCAAGAGGAACATATTCCAAAGTCAGACTCTCTGTGGATAGAACTTGTAGAGTCTATGAAACTGCTTTCCTCTGGTTGCTCCTGGGGAATTCATTAGGAATTAGGAGATGCCTCAAATATGACTAGCCTCATTTTCGCTTAAAAATGAACAAAAAACGATGATACAGAATATCCACTTCACAAGACTATTGCAAAAATTAAACTTCTATAGCGAGCTTAGTCCAATGTAGAGTTCTATAAACATTTGATGAGAAATTTCATCTTTCAATAGATTAAAAAAAGTCTAAGATACATTTGGTTCTTTGAATAAGTACAAAGATACAGCTAGCCAAGTCAAAGTCACATAGTCATCAGGAAAGAGTAGTCACTGCCACACAATAGCAGCACTTAGTAGCAGTCATCACTACTGAATACCAGCTAAGTGATTTATCTAGTATTAATTATTCCCAAAACTAAATCTATAAATTATGTCATTCCCACTTTAGAGCCAAGGAAACTAAGCCTCAAAGAATTAAGCAACTTGCCCAAGACCTGCAGAAAATAAGTGGCAAATCATTCTAAGAACCCAGGGTCCTCTGACACTAAGGCTACTGCTTTTCCCATTGCCCTCCGCTGCCTCCTTAAAGAGATTTTGTTCGAGGGCTACAATAAAGATAGGAGTATATATCACTGAATTCAGGGCTCAGAGAGCTAATCATTCTATCAGAGAAATATTTTTCAAGTGGCAGTACTGTTAACATAAAAAGCAGAACTCCACCAACCAAATAAACACCATTTTCCGAGGGTACCGTTGGCTATATAATCCCACCACTAAATTTTGCGGCAGAGGGTGGATAAGAAAATAAAGATGTGAGTTACAACATACTACACAATCAAACTGCTAACTAGTACCTGTGTCATGATTCTAGAAATGTACTAATTTGAGTGCTCAGACAAGCCAGAGCTCATTAATCTTACATAATAACAAAATGTATCATTTTGGGCACACAAAAATCAATACCTACTGGAGAAGAAATAGGGAAAGGATTATTTAACTTGGATAATTTTTAAAATTAAACTTTTAACTTTTTTATATTTGGTTTTAAAGCCATTGTCATACTATAATATTTAAGTATTACTAAGACAGTAGTAACTTTCATGTTCCACACTTCAATGCATAAAAAAGGTTAAAGGTACATACATATAGGTTAAAGTGGAGATCCAAGAATATATAATAAATTTAATTCAACAATAAGGTGAAGGAGTGATAACAGATTTCACAGAGGAACTGACACTTCTTAGTCTTAACAGGAGGATGGGGCATAGGAGAGATGTGTTATAAAGGAGAATCTTTAGGACTTGGTGCCCAAATGTGGTAAGTGAGGAAAAATGGTAGTCTAGGTGGGCTTAAGGCTGGCTAGAGTAACTGGACTAAAGACTTTAAATGCTCTCTAACGGATCTAAATGCAAGTAACATTATTTCTATTACATATGCGAATAAATGTAAAATTTTTTTTTGTTTTAGTGACATTATTTACATAGGCAAAATCTGTCCCTAATCCTCCATATCAAGTGAGTACACAAAGGTGGGTGGGTGAACTCTTAACGTCTTTTGCCCCTGCAGTCAAAAGCCCAAAGAAATCTGATCACCATGGCTGATAATATATCCAGGCATTAACATAGAAAAGTGACTACCTGCAATACAGGTCTTCGAAACATGGCTTCTCTTTTCTTTTCTTACTCTAATCTTTATACTCTTCCTGAAGAAAAAAATAAAGAAATATTACACCTTACAGCAAGAGCACAAGTTCATCAGTCCTAAATTCCTAACTGCATTCATGATTTCTATGCACTCCAATTTGCGACCACAACATACCAACGTCCCAGCACATTTGACGAGGATTCCCCCCTACATAGTAAAGACTCACTAAATATTAGAGTCATCAAGAAACTTAAATCTGAAACCTGTTGCTGCGAAAATTATTGCCTCCATCCCCGTTAACAAAGACCAAGGGATGCTGGAGACCCCCAAGCTCCCCAGCCCCACTGCCGGGAAAGGCGGGCGCCCTTGCTCAAAGGTGGCGCTCCCACCCAAGCACGTAGCGGAACTGGAAGGAAACCGCGCAGTCCTCTGGACGAGTGAGAAAAAAAGGACCAAACACCTACACAGCACCACGTCCAGACCCACGCAGGCGCACAAACACAACTAGAGCCTTTCCTTCCTTCCTCTCCAGACGCTCTAGCCCCGACAGCCCACCACCAGGGGATCACTTCCGGCGCACGGAGCCGCAAGAATCGCGAGAGGAAGGAGGAAACAGAAAGTCCCGCAGCGTGCGCCGTAGAAATACTGCCGGCCGGCACCACGGGAAACACGCTCCCTTTTTACTCGAAAGTTCCGGGAGCTTCTTTCCGAGCGCCGGTGGATGGATCAACGCCGCCCAGTGGTGAGTTCGGCAGAGTTTCGAATGGTGTACAGCTAATGAAATGCAATTATTTGATGAATGAGGGTTCCAGCGGGTCCCAGAAGGGGGCGAGCGAGGTAGGCGAAACAGAATATCTCTGCCTGGAGGAAAAACAGAAAACAAAACAAAGAAAAAAAATGGCCCAGGCCTCCTGAAGCAGTAAGAAAAGCAGAAAAAGAGGGAAACAGGCAAAGGGCTGAGCCTGCAAAATTTAAGGGGGCGCCAAAAAATTAGCAATCAAGATAAATAATATTTTAATGCAGTATTTTAAAAGGTCCAAAATTAATGCAAGAAATCCATGAGGAACAAATAATAGTCATGTGTCGCTTTAACGACGGACTACATTCTGAGAAATGTGTCCTTTGGGCGATTTTATGTTGTTCGAACATACTTGTACTCACACAAAGCTAGGTGGTATAGCCTACTGCACACCTAGGCTGTTTGGTATAGCCTGTTGCTCTAAGGCTACAGACCTGTATGTTACTGTACTGAATACTGTAGGCAATTGCAAGGTAATGGTAAGTATTTGTGTATATAAACATAGAAAAAGTACAACGAAAATATAGTATAAAAGATAAACAAATGATACACCTGTATATAGCACTTCCCATGGATGGAGCTTTCAGTACCGGAACTTGCTCTGAGTGAGTCAGTGGAGGGTGAATGTGAAGGCCCAGGACATTATATTATTCAGTACTGTAGACTTTGTAAACACTGTACACTCAGGCTATACTAAATTTATTTTTAAAATATTTTTCTTTTTTCAATAATAAATTAACCTTAGCTTACTATAAGTTACTGTATAAACTTTTTAATTTTTTAACTTTTTCACTTTTTCTGATAACACAGCTTAAAACACAAACACATTGTACAGCTGTACAAAATATTTTGTCTTTATATCTTCATTCTATAAGCTTTTTTCTATTAAAATTTTTTTTTTTACTTTTTAAACTTTTTTTGTTAAAAACTAAGACACAAACACACATATTAGCCTAGGCCTACATAGGGTCAGGATGGGCAATATCACTGTCTTCCACCATCCCATATTCAGGGTCAATAACATGCATGGAGCTGTCATCTCCTACAATAACAATGCCTTCTTCTGGAATACTTCCTGAAAGACATATGTGAACTAAAATAAAATGTTAAGGCTCACCCCCCTCACCGACTGACTAACTGGACCCCCTCGTGGCCAAAGGAATATCCTACAACTAAATTGCCTGCCAGGAGGAAGGAGGTCAGACATGCCTTATCATGCCCCCCTCCCTTCTTGGGGACATCCTTTGTAACCCATTAACAGGCCTAAGGGTATGCAAGACAAACCTGCAGGTCCTCAATTTACACAACAAATATATGTGGTGGCTTATCTCTGATAAACAACTCCTACGTTAAAACATTCCAAACCTTTAGACAAAGCTTCATGTCTTTAACCAATTACAAGCCAAAGAATCTTTAAACCCACCTATAACTTGCAAGCCCCCCCTTGGAGATGGCCCACCTTTTGGGCCAAACCAATGTATGCCTCCCACGTATCAATTTATGACTTTACCTGTAACTCCTGTCTCCCTGAAATGTATAAAACCGAACTGTAACCCAGCCACACCAAGTCCACTTGCTCAATGCCTCTTGGGTGTGGCTCCAGGTCATGGTTCTCAAATTTGGCTCAGAGTAAATCTCTTTAAAATTATTTTACAGAGTTTGGTCTTTTTTTCCATTGACACATACTTGAGGCTGTTTTACAGTTAACTCTTCTTTTATAAGTAGAGGGAATACACTGTAAAATAACAATAAAAAGTATAATAAACAGGTAAGCCAGTAACATAGTCATTTATTATCATTAACAAGTAAAACATGAGTAAAGTGTTGTGCTACCATGTTTCAGCAGCTACATCACTAAATGATGGGAATTTTTAAACTCTATTATAATCTTAAGAGACTACCATTGTGTATGCAGTCTAACATCACTATGCAGCACATGACTGTATTAAAATTTTATTGCAATACAGGATCTGAGCCATATTGGAGCCTGAGGCACAGGAAAATGTGCACTCGTATATTCATGTTTTTATGTATTTTTTAAAATTTTTTCTAGAACATTAGTTGAATATTGAAAATTTTGGAAATAGTTGTATTAAAACTCAACATTATTTTAAGTTTAAATATTTTGTTTATACCAAAAATGGAATTTAATTTTACTTTCCTGGTTTTAATGGAAGTAAACTGAGCAGTAATAGTTTTAAAATCTACTTCTTTGCTTATCTTGTTTCACTTGCAAAAGTTGCCATGTCTCACAATTTTTCTTGGCCAAGTGACAATCTTAAATAATTTTAACTTCAGCTCACTCATCTTGTCTTTATTTAAAATTTTGGTATTTTGTTCACCATGGATTGTTTTCATTACTTTTAATATTTTAAAAATATTCCATTAAAATATCATTAATCTTGATTGCTGAGTTTCCTGGTGTCCCTTAAATTTTATCTTATTCACCCTAATCCTGGCCCTGGTAGGAAAGAGGATATATGGAGCCCCACAAATTGTAGAATCCAAGCCAGTGAGGGCCTCCCCTTCCTCTCCATCTCCCTGTCCTGGCACTATCCAGCTTGAGGAGAAGGAAGGTACCCTCCAGATTGTTCTAATGTCCAAATTGCCTCCTCAGGCCCCTACTTAAAATCATTCAACTGCTCATTCTTGCCCTTTAGTGATAAAATCTTAACTACTTAACATGGATTCCAATACACACCTTAATTCACTCCTGAAGGTCTGGCTCACTAGTTGCTATACAGTATTTCTAGATGTGAAACTGCCCTTTATGAAGTTAATAAAAGGCTGTAAGGTGGGAACTGTGGTAGGGGCCTGAACTCTGCAAATCAATAGGCATAGTTAAAATATGTATATAGCCAGCCATTGTTCCCTAGCTTGCCTTCCTATAATTGCTTTTTACTCAGGAGTCACATAGCTGATGGTTATGCAAATTCTTAGCTTTCTTCATTGCTCCCATAGGTAACATAACCCTTGTGAAACCTAGGCTTGTCTTTGAGATATCTTCCAGACTTTGCATTCTAGTGGACCAGCTGACCCAACCAGACCAGTGGCCCATACCAAACAAGGAACCAACCCTACTGGGTCTTGTGACCTTGGGAACTGACTCAGCACAAGAAGATAGTTTCTGCTTCCCGACCCTATGAGTTCATTCCCAGCCAATCAGTAGACCCAATTCCCTAGCCCTTTGCCCGCCAAACTATCTTTAAAAATGCTGGCTCCCAAATTCTCAAAGAGGTGAATTTGAGAAATTCCTCCTGTCTCCTCACATGGTTCCTGCAATATTAAACTCTTTCTGTGCTGTAACCCCTGCCCTCTCAGTATTGGCTTCCTCTGGAGCAGTGGGCAATAAACCTGGTTGGGCAGTAACAGACACTAACGTCTGTTTTATAATACTTGCACCTTCACGATGCTGAGTTCCTGAAACAGACCATGTTACTGCCTTCCAGCCTTGCACAGGTATTAATAATCCTGCACCCACCCCGTGTGTTACTGTCAATCCCCTCCATTTTCTCTTTAAAAATCCAGCTTTCATTTGGGGAGTGAAGTCAAATGAGAAACTAAATACACCCCTTCATCCAAAGCCAATTTCCCACTTGTAAGCTCCCTGTTTGCTTTAATGGTAGCAAGATTCTCCCAGACTTGAACCTTGTAATCATCTTTAAATTTTCTCTGATCACCCACATCTGTTCACCTATATCCAATCAGTTGGCCCTAAAAGTTCTTTCTTCATTATGCCACTAATATCTCCCTCTTTATATTTACATACTTTGGGGTGAGGAATGTAAAGAGATTGTATAAAGAAAAATGCAGAAAGTACTATACAAATTGAAAACAGCCAACTTTGGGTAAACTCTTACAACTTTGTGTAAACTCTTACAACTTTGTAAATAACATCTTACTGGAGAGTCTGGGCTAATCCAGATACTCTCTCAGACAAGAATTACTGAAACAGATTCTCCTTAGAGTGTTGGCTAGAGAAAGTTGCAAGTGCTGCTTTTTTTCTTCTATGACAAAGAAAAGCATGTTAAAGTATACAAAAATTTTTAATTTATAATATCATGGAGGAACTAAGCAAAAACATTGTCTTCTACTATCAGATAGTAGATAGTATTTGATAGTATCTTCCTAATACAACAAATGCTTCAGCTTCGCTCTCATTGTCCTCAGGGTCTGCAATGTCCTCCCCCACCACTACACTTTCAAAACCTGTTCTCCCATTTCATGTGCTTTACACACTCAGGCTGTGTTTTATTATAATTTAAATGACCACAAAGGTGTCTCCTCTCTCCCATTGATTGTGAGCTCTTAGAGGACAGGGAACTTGTGAATATTCAATTCACAGTATGCTTTAAAACCAAGGACAGGCTTTAGAAGGGCTCAGGCCACAGGCCAGAGCACAGAAATAGCAAGAAAAATAGAAGAAGCCAGAAAGATGCTTAAATAGGCCTAAAATTAAAAGATTAAAAAAAAAAAAATCAAGGATCTGGAAGAGTGATTCAAATGTATTTTTGTATCAGAGATAGCCCTTCAGAAATCTGAAGTTTGCATTTTCATGAGGATGCCCTGAAACCTCTCTGTAGCATACATACACACACCCACACACACACACTCACTCTCTCTCTCTGTCTCTCTCTCTCTCTTTCACTCACACACACACACATACACACACACACGCAATCATGGACTTTCCACAGTTCATCCATGGACCCAGAGAGGGCCTTCCCAATACTGAGAAGTAGTGACAGGTTCAGCTTTAATCCCTGGCAGTAGTGAACTCAGGGCTTTTGTCGTTTGCAAAGCTTACTGAGAAAGAGAAATATACATCATATATGCCCAGGGCTGCAAAGTTACCTTTGGCTTCACTCTTTTATTTCCCCCTAAATTAAAAGGGTTTCAGTTATAGGTATCCAGTGGTAGAGACCCAGGCTGACAATGCTTTATCACAACTAGGAAGCTTTGGACAGTTTTGCTGTTAAAAAAATCAACCTGACAATTTTTATGTAATTCAAGATTGAAATTATGATTCATCTAGAGATAAAAAGGCTTAGTTGTTCAAGCGGAAAGATTGACATCTGTCTTTTTTTTTTTTTTTTTTGAGACAGTCTCACTCTGTTGCCCGGGCTAGAGTGCCGTGGCATCATCCTAGCTCATAGCAACCTCAAACTCCTGGGCTCAAACAATCCTACTGCCTCAGCCTCCCGAGTAGCTGGGACTACAGTCATGCGCCACCATGCCTGGCTAATTTTTTATATATATAAAATTTTAGTTGTCCAGCTAATTTGTTTCTATTTTTATAGTAGAAACGGGGTCTCACTCTTGCTCAGGCTGATCTCGAATTCCTGAGCTCAAATGATCCGCCCACGTTGGCCTCTCAGAGTGCTAGGATTACAGGCATGAGCCACCATGCCTGGCCGACATCTGTCTTTCAATATTCATCATTCTATAGCTTTAGATAAATGACCTCTATAAATTGGTACATATATTAGAGCTTAGACCAGTAGAGTACAGTAGTATTTCTCTAAGTCTCAAGATTATCTGTTGGCACCTTAATGTCAGTATTTCTGTTTAGGGTACATCTATAGAGAAGTAATATTTGTTTCCTAAAATATTTAATTAACTTCTTTAATGTTGCCAGCCCAATGATGTTAGTGAAATAATTTTGAAAATTAGTTTGAGTTATATCATGATCTCTGTGCAGAGACAAAACTTAACTGAGGCAAGGAGTAAATGTCTAACTGAAATGGAAGGGATGAAACGCAGAACCCAGGGAACACCTGGTCCCTCTCACACTCAATAGTATCTATGCAGATGCATGCTATTTTGGAGACTTCCTTTTACTGTGGAGCCCAGCAGAGAGAGAGAGAGAGAGAGAGAGAGAGAGAAACAAGTGATCTGGCACTAGATCCATTCAGATGTGAAGCTAGGCTCCAAGGAACACAGTAGGGAAGGAGTTGTAGACCAAAATAGCTGTGGTTGTCAATGCCTGAGAATACAAGCATAACCAAAGAATTCTGATTCATACAAAGCATATACTTAATAATGTACCTGTTTCTAAATCACAAATTGTGGTTGACCTTGCACTGTACTGCAAGATACATAGCCTGGGGCTAGGGGTGAGGTGGCAAGAGATAAACTAACCTCATTTTTATTTTGAATAAAGACTAGTAAATAAAAGTGGCAATGGACTATAGGAAGAACTACATGACACTTAATTTCACGGAAAGAATTGCTATTCCAAAGCAGAACAAGGAATAGTATGACGGTTTATTCACTTAAAAAAATATAATTGGCTTTTAAAAATGAGGAGAAAATAAGATAATCAAGTAACAAAAAGAGCCATTAATCATTAACAGTTTACATTAAGATGACACAAATAGAATTTATGAAATACCTTTGTGATTGACATTATTTTATAGCAGAGCCTGACCATTATTAACTTTTGGACCTGTGAAGCTGGGCCTTGCTGCCGAGACATGTTACTACTAACCTACTGAATTCTGTTACTCATTTATTCATAAAATTTTTTCCAACAAATTTCTCATTCTTTGTTAGTTACATATTATAAAAAAGAGTGCTTTACTCGTAATTCAGCTTTGGACAAGATAAAAACCTTTATTTAAAAATACAGTATTCTATTCCTTTAAGAATGTATACAGAAAAAGAATTTGAATAAAATGTGATAAAATGGCAGAAAATAAAGCCAAATTCTGATAAAGTCAAGATAAATTGGCAGTACCCAGAATATAAAAACCGATCAGAACAGCCAAGAGAGGCTCAGGGCAAATAGACTGAGGGAGAACAGACACATCAAATTTTCCTTGAACCCTCTGCCTCTAGTATTTCTGTTCTAGAAGTTAACCAGCTCAGAAATGTCCACATTATATACAGGTTCATTTTTACCCATCTTACATAATGGTGAAGCCATTTATTTAATAAATATGATATCAGAGGAAGGGTATATATACATTAAGAGAACCACTTTCTCAAAGGGAGTGGGAATTCTTTTAGGAATAGCATCATATAACCTGGGAAGCACTGTTTGAATCCAGGTACATTTTCTTGTAAGCTGTAACTTCAACTCAAAACCAAATTTTATTCCCTTCTATTTACAGTTAGAGGCCCTGGGGTCCTTCGTGGGGGAATTGGCAACAGCAACCTCTTAATCAATAGGCCAAACCAAGGACTGTTTTCCTTTCTTCTTTCAATTCAGAGGCTCATGCTCTCCCCCTGTTCATCAAAAAAAAAAAAAAAAAAAATGTGAGAAGTAAATGAATTGTTGATAGATGGCATCAGGAATATAACAATAAGGAAGAGAAATGGCTACCAATTATTGTACCAGGGACCATTGCTAATACAAAGCCTTACTAGCTTTAAGATCTTGGCTGTAAATGATAAATTAGGAGTAGCTTTTGAAAGCTTTGGGCATTCAAGTTGCTTAATTTTGTCATTTTATAAGGAGAAGGTTAGGACAGTCAATACCTATTTCTGGAGGCTCTGCAGTAAGAGGTCAGGTGGTGTGAAATGAATTCTGAAGGGGAAGATTACTCACAGGTAAAGCTTGAAGACTTCGCACTCTTTCCTCCCACCAGGCGTTTCGTGCTTCTTGATCCTGCGTGGGCCTCAGAGACCCCAGGGTCCTCATGATGGATATCTCCCTGGGCCTGCTGGACTTCTCTCAGTTCTCTGTAACAAAAGGGGGAAAAAGCAAAGGTTACTTGATCCCCAGTTAGAGATATTTATGAACAAAACATAGATCTATTTCTCTTTTTTTAATATTTACAGTAACAAGCCTGAGCTATACACAGAATAGAAAATTCAATTTCTATGATTGTCTTAAAAAATGGTTGACCCACATGCCATAGCATATGATAGGTTTAGTTTCCAAGCCCCCACTGATTGGAGCATAAATGGATTTTACAGTTAAAAAAAATTAAGAGAACAGCTCTTCAGGGTATATGTGAAAGGTACAGAGGTCAACAAACCACAGCCTCTGGGTCAAATCTAGCCTGTCACTTGTATTTTTAAATAAAGTCTTATTGGAACACAATCACTCATTGATACATTGCCTATGGCTGTTTTCACACTATATCAGCAGAGTTGAGACATTACAGCAGAGAGCATAAGTCCCACAAAGCATAAAATATTTACTATCTAGCCGTTTACAAAGCAAGTTTGCTAACCTCTGGTCTAGACAGTTTTAAGATGCCATCTGCCCCATCTCTGCTATGGGTGCCCATCACTGGTACTGGCTGATGGCAGTTAATTGTGCCTATATAGCTGGCTTCACAGAATGTACATACCACACTCTAAGAGGTACTTATTTTCTTGTGAACAACATATATATAAGTCTAGTGTTTTGTACTTTATTTCAATGGAATTCAAAACTAGAGCAGAAAAATATCAAGTGGTTTTTTAGGAAGAACTACCTGACTAAAGGCTGAGAGACTCTGAAACTTATTACCAAGCAATTAGTTTGGGGACTTTTCAAGCTAATGTTTCCAAGATGGTGTCCAAGAGAATTGAGACTCCTAAGCATATTTTAGACAAGGACTATTTTTTATTTCCTTCTTTTGTATTTAACCATGCACAGTATATGTAATAATCACTTTAAAATGCCTTCAGAACACTGCTCAACATTACTACCTAACCTCTTTCCCAACCCCATCCCATCTAATTAATTCCCATTTTTTAATGAAAGAATGGATTAAGAAGTAAATACATGCATGAATACAAGCCTACATTAATAAGATCAGATTACTTTCTTTGCTCAGAAAAATACCTATTCCTCTAAACATGTACGAGGACAGTATGTCTGCCTGCCCCTGAAATTTAATGGGTTTCTAAAATAAGTTCCTGCCACCTTACCTATGGTTATATTAGGTGATCACTCACCAGTTACTTAGATAACTGCTGTCACTCAATCTTAAATGTTCTTTACTAGTTATATTTCCTTGTATTCCTCACTCTTGCTTCCTTTGCATTAACTGGAATCTTCTCTCTCAAGCAGCCTAATCATAGAGCCTGCCAGTCCCATGCTACAAAGAGCCTCAGTCTGCCAATCTCTTTGTGGGCAGGGACCTATGTAGTATAGTGGTGAATATATAAACTTGAAACCAAATAGAAGACATGTTAGATCAGTTATATTAATATCATTGTGAGTAGTACACAATAGATTCTTTCTTGTCCCCATCATCTAAAAACTACCTTTCCAGTGTGGCTGTCTTGAACTTTTCCAAATTCAGCTGCTGCTGGAGCTCTTCAGCTTTCCCCAGGGAGGGCCGGAGAACTCGACTTCTGGACAGAGCTACTGCAGAAGGTCTCTCTCCTGGATCAGGGTGGATCATATTCTGATGACATAGGGCCAAAAGGAAGGAAACAGCAGCTTCACTACTGGGAAAAATCTTCCCACTCAAGCCAACTCCAACCCAGCTTTTTCTGATGAATTTTCTAAAAACCCTGCTTGTCCTTTGTGCAGAGGGAAGATACAAAACCTAGCTCCACCTTGGACAGGAAGATTGTCCATGTCTGGTAGCATCAATTGTCCACACCCATGACTTGTCTTTAAATATTATGTTTTAGAGCTGGCTGGATGATTAGCTACTCTAATGCCTTAATTTCAGAGTAGAAAAGAACTGAGACCCTAGATAAAAAGTCACTTGTCCAAGTTATTTAGAACGGCCAAGACCAAAGCCTGTTTACTTGACTCTTAGTTTAGCTTACTTCCTATTACATCATGCTGCTTTTTCACATAATAATTCACCATGACAGTATTCCTAAAGCATTTATCTCAAGGTAGAGGATATATCTGTAACCTAAGATGATTTGACTATAATGGAAAATACCTAATTTTATATAATTAACAATGTCATAAAATGAAGAAAACATTGAACCTTCTGTTTGGGACCCAAGTTCAGAGCCAGCTCCACCATTTACTTTGTGAACTTTGCTGAAGCTAAATTTCCCTTTCCTGAAATTTGAGATAATGATATTCACCTTCTGGGACTGTTATTAGAATTAAGTGACTTAATACATGTATTGCCTAGCACAGGCCCAGCATTTATGTACTCAATAAGTATCAACGAAATCTAAGAGCAGTTTACACATAGAAATAGATGATTAGATAATGAACAAAAGACCACTATGAGGAACGTTTACCTCTTTTCAAGAAAGCAAAAGTAGTCAGGAAGAAGGACAGGTTTGTAACTATATTTGAAGTTTCTAGAAACTTCAAAATTTGAGTTTCATGAAACTCAAATCTACAAGTGAGTAGATATTTCTAAGGCTACTTTAGGGACCCTAACCAATCCTGTTCCCTAAGTCATGAAGTCATACATACATACATTTTGTTTTCTTGGTATAATTATAAGCTGAACAGGGTAAGCTTTTCATATCTTTGTTTCAACATATTATCCTTTTCTCATCCCTATACATACTCAGGTATCATTAAGTACAATTAAAACAGTTTTTTTCTTTTTTTATCTTTTTTTCTTTTTACTCCACACTCTTCCCAGAATTGGCATTATGCCTTTTTTCTAATGGCTCAAATAATTGTTGGTGTTGTCAATTATCAATAAAGTAGCTTATACCTTCTTATATACAGTAGAAATTCATTCTTTTAGTAATATCATCACTGTTACCATTAATAATAGTTAAAACCCTGAAGTAGAGCAAAAAGACCAGTTTTGATTTTGGGGTTAACTAAGTAACAACTGGAAATACAGGAGTCAAAGAGCTGCCCTGAGCCTTGATTTCCTCAATTGCAGAATAAGATACTACCTGCCCATTTTACAGGGCTATTACGAAGGGCAAATGAAAAATTGTTTGTAACAAGATTTTTGAACTATGACGTGAAAGGTTTATGATATTTTCTAAGTTTCCTTGAGTTATTTCCAATCTGTCCTATATCTTTTCTGTGCTTCCTAGTAATGGTTCCTTTTTCTTTCTGTGAATGACACTACCGACTTCTCCATTTTCCTTTCCCCAACTACTTGACATCACACATTTTAAAAAATAGACATTTCATCTTTTCTTTATTTCATAAGAGATATCACCTTGAGCAGACTGTAAAAGTCTTTTGAGAGTTCCTCAGGAATGTCAGGAAAATTACCCTCTCGGATACGGTGCCATGCATCACCATTGGTGGGTAATGACTCAGCTCCTGCAGCCACCGCAATTGTTAATCCCAAGGCAAATATGTCTGCTTTTGGAAGGTGCTGATAATCCTTGAAAAGAGAAGACAGGAAGGCCAGTTAGTATGCCAAGCAGAATGAGTGTAGACTAAACTACAACAGGTAGGAGAGGTTCATTTGACTGCATGTAAGCTCTAAACAGACACTGTGGGCAAAGTTACATTCACTGCAGTTAGTAGTTTATTTCTAGAGAAGATAAACAGAACACAAATCACCTGATTAACATTGCTGTGCCCTGAAGAGTCCAAGTCAGAATCTTAGTGCCATTTTGCTCTGTCGGGCTCAAAAAAGCTTGGCGCATAGATTGGCTGGTCATGGTAAGGAAAGACTCATTTTTTTCCTGATTATCACCCAGCAGGAAGTTATATCCTCCCTAGGCCAAACTCAACAGACTTTGTAGAAGATGGGCAATGACTAACAGTTATTTCAATGACCAGAGCTGGTAGTGCTATCCGAAGGATAATAGCATGATAAATATGAGTTAGACCAATATGGACTTGAGGAAAAGGGTTAGTAGCTAATCCATGAGGTTAGGAATTCTAAGAAATATTAGAAACAGTAAAGGACCCTTAGAAAGAACAGTATAAATATTGATTCATCCTTAATTGAGCCAGCTTTCCTCATACATTTTTTGGAAGAGTTTGTCATTGGTCTCCATTGTGAATGGGGAGAAATGAGTTTAAGTCATTATATAAATACACACTTCTCATTTTTTGACTGTGAGCCTTCACTTGAGGGTCAAAAGGTTCAACACCCTCCAATTCTCTAATCTATACCTCTTGCAAAATCTCGTTAGCCAGGAAGCGACTGTCTCCTTCTTCTACTTTGGGTTTGCTTATTGATGTCACATGACCCAGGTCACCTAAAGAAAGATAAGAAAAAACAAAAGAGAAAAAAGAAATAGAGCTCTTTAAAAGTATGTCTTTATTTCTTCAAAGTAGAGGAGGAAACAAAAAAAAAATTAAAAAATTTTTAAAAACATGTCTTTCTTAAAACTGGAATAAATGAGTCATTATTATAAGTTTTATAGGATAATAATATACTGATAGGGGTATAAGGCAAGCTCACCAATTTTATATATCACATTGGCAGAGAGAAACCAATCAGCTTCATTTTCAACTTCTTCTAAGACTCCAGGGGAGTCACCTTGCATCCTGTGGCAAATGAAGATATTACCTGAAAAAATACAGAATAGAGGTAAATAATGATTCCTGAGTTTTTTCACCTCAAAGATTCTTTTCTGTATTTGACATTCAACTTCCCTCCTTTCTTCTTCTTCTGTGTGGACATAGCAGGACTACTAAGGTTTCTTTTAATCTAGGAAATATCTCACATCACTTCTGAGCAGCCAGTGATTGCTAGCTAACACCTATTTAAGTTAAACTGACCTCATATGTTCCCCATCCTCTGAAGAAGCTGGTGGCAAGATACTATTGTCTCAAAATAAACAAATACCACATAATAATGAGAATTCACACCAATGATTGATAAAGCCATTCATTTCTGCTTACTTTAATCAATGCTGAATTAGAGTATAGAACTAGTAGTAAAACAATTAAGATGTAGCCAAAATGCTATCACTTACCTACATGGTAAATTAAATACCTAATTTTATTTTTTGTCCTCACTATATAGGCAACATTTTTTTCCCCCTCTCTGTCCATTGGGCCTAAGGGGGAAATGGTTAAAGCTGTTTAACCCAATTTTTTAGGAGAAACAAATGGAAGAAAGAGATTCTGCTAGCAAATACTATCTTTGACACTTGATATACACACAGGCACAGATTTTAATGATGGTATGGAAACAACAAAATATGGCAAGAAGAGCTGAAGGGAATCATACTGACTGGGTTTGATGTCCATGTGCACCATGCCAGCATTGTGGATATACTTAAGTCCGAGGGAAATCTGTAGAAGTATATCCTTGAGTTTTGGCTCTTGGAAATGATTACCAGACTTAGCATTTTCAGCTATAGCACCTTGCAAGCTCCCACCTGGGAAAGAACAAAGAATAGCCTCACAGAATGGGAGAAAAGATGTGAGTCTTACAGATGAGAGCATAGTAAATACAACTGGCCCTCTATATCCTCAGGGAACTGGTTCCAGGACACCCCACTTCCCACAAATACAATTCTGGAATGCTCAAGTCCCTTATATAAAATGGCATCGTACTGTATTCAATAAATTCGTCATAAATGACTTCAATCCAACAAGTCTAGATTAGTTCAGTGTCTCTGCAAAGCATAATAATATCTGCCCCTGTCTATACCACAGACATGTTGGAAGAAATTACAGGGCTTTTAAAGAAGAAAATGCCAGTACCTCATGTATCCAATAGTATATGGCCCTACTGCTTCAAGCATGTGCCAACTAACACCTTTAAAGTTTTACTAAATTATTAACCAGAAGGCCAATCAGGCCTAGTCATATGGCTATCATTGGTGGCAATGATTAATTCCACATCAGTGTCAGACTAGTTGTTACAGGCTGTTAGTAATTTTAATGTAACCTTTGCTAAGTCTAATTTAATTAAAAATAAATCATAAAGTCAGAACATTTAATGATTGCTGACCCAAGGAAAATATAAACGCTCTATATGCACCTAAATCTTATTTGGGCTACACTATTTGTACATGAACTGTAGACTGTCTTGATTTATCATTGTTACCAATAAAAAATAGGTTAATATAACTATTTGATCTTGATTCTAAGGTACTAGAATGTTTCTGAACACTTTATTAATTAGCACTCATTGTCAAGTTCTTCAAATTACAGAATCCCATCTCTCACTGGCAATTACAAAGCCCATAGAGTTCCACCCTTCAAGTACATATCAGAACAATAAGATCTGAGAGAGTAATGGAATTTTTGAGGAAATCAGTATTTAAAAATGTACTGTGTAAAACTGAATTTAAAGACTTATCTCTCATGCCAAAATAATTAAGTTCAGATGGGAGAAGATTTAGCCCCTTTCAGAAACACAGGGAGGGCTACAGTAAATGTTATTTTTCTGGGAGTCTTCTTAGAATTTATATACTACATAAATACTACATATTTATTAATTAGAAAGAAAGAGTAAGGAAAGAGAACATTTTGGAGCTTGTTAAAAACAAAGTCACTCCGAGACAAAGTTTGTAGGTGAGGCTATGAGGTGTTGTCAACAGGAAAGAGGAAGGCTATATCCATTGGAACTCTTGCTTCCCTATTAGCTTGGGTGTTCCTTAAAGGCAGGGACCATATCTAATCCATCTTCATTCCCAAGGTGTGGCATGTAATAAATGTTTTCTGAATGGAATGCTTTTCCTGGCAACAGAGGGGAAAGAAAGAATAAGTTAAGGACCCCTTAAAAGGTATGGAAGGAAAGCATCTGGAAATACTTAGGAATTTTTAATATGTTCTTTTGGATTATAAACAGATATTTCTAATCCTCTGAAGAGCTAGAGGTATTTGGTAAGGACAACTAAACCAGTGTATTTAAATTACTTTTAAATACCTAGAAGCTATGTAAGTAAGATTAAAGTTAACCAAGTAATAGTTAACAATAGAACTGAAAGGTACTCATTTACACAAAAGTGATAGAATATCCTGATTTTGCTACAGCTAAAGCTGATTGTCTGCCTCTTATAGAATAGCTTAATGAACTACTGTTTAGTAAACAGCATAAACAAGGAAGTGTTTATAGACATAGGAATACTGAATGAACTGTGAGCTTCATCCCTACTAATCTCATCAACCACATTGGAGCCTTAACTCCATAACCCAAGGTACTACCTGGAGATGGCTACTGTCATTGTAAGCATTGTACCCAAGGAGGAAACATCTGGCTCATGGAAGGCTCTTCTCAAGCCATCTTTGTGAGTTCCTACCTTAAAATAGTAAAATAATAACTTTACCAAATTGACAGAAAGGAAAAAAAACCTTAAGAATATACCTTTTTTCCTCTCTGCTAATGTGGCCTAACAGATAACAAAACAAATAGAAAATGCTTTATAACAATAAAATGTAAAGCAGATCAGTAATTCGACAGGCTATTTGGTTCATACACTTGCATTTTCACAATATTTTATGTTGCTATCTATAACACAGGCATACTTTTCTGCTGGTAAAGTTGTTTCTTGTTTGGTGGAAAAATATAACTAACATTCATGGTTTTCCACAGAGGACAATGACTACTGGATGTCTCATCATCCAAACAAGTTTAAGAACCACCATCCTGAGCATGATTTATACAACCTTCAGTGACAGAAGCTATCACAAGAAAATACTGCCTTTGGGGAGAGATTAATAGTCCAATCCTGAATCAAAATCCTAGGGGTTACAGAACCAGCCTACTACTGGAGATCCTTCAGATTTCTGAGGCTGACCCAGAGGTGACTTGTAGGGGATCTTGGCAAGAGTGGGAAGGAGGGAATATTCAATGGGTTCTGGGTTCAGGAGGACAGTAGGGAAAATTAGATGACTACTCGTCTCTAACAGTAGTCATCTAACTTATGACCTAGGTTTCTAAATCATCTAATTTATAATCTAAGTTAAAATCATAACCGTACATGTTTCAGCCTGACTGCTATGATAAACTAGGGAAAAGGATAGGTGTGGAAAGGGAAGGGCATGAGGAGGGAGAGGTGAGATGGTGGGTCTAAATAAAGGATAGTAAGTCCAAAGTATTTGTAAGGTAGAAGAGTAGTTAATGCCTCATTCCTTCATTCCTTCTACTCCTTTCTCCCCGCCATTTCTTAGCCGCCCCCAAACGCCACCCTTTGATATTATCTTTCTTTGTTAGTAGCTAAAAGTCATGCAAATAAAACCAATCTTCCTTATAGGGAGAAGAAGAAAAAATAATAGCAAATCTCAGGTTGCAATAAGAGGTAATTAGAAGAGAAGATGATTAAGAAAAGGCTCAACATCTCAATCATGAGTAGAAGGAAAGGATCCATTTTTTTCTCCAGAGAGACATTTGAAAAAGGTATTTGGGATAAGCTTATAAGAGGGAAAAAAACCTACACAGTTCACAGGTAAGGCTACAAGGAAATCTATGTATAAGGAAACAAGAGAAATGCCAAATAATTATTTTGTAGGGTGTGTGTACCATTTTCTATATTTCTAGCATTTCATGTTATTTACTTACCTACTTGTTTGTTTATTTATATAACGATGGAGCTTTAACACTATCCTCAAAAGCCAAGCTGGACATACATACTCAGGGCCATCTGGTGTGTGTAAGTATTACAGAAAGAAGACTGTACCATTAAAGAAACTGAGGTTGTAAGCTATAGTTCTATTTAAAAAACAAACAAATAAACAAACAGAAAAACTCAAAAACTTAGGGTGGTTGTGCATGAAGGAGAGGGTGTTGTTATCAAAAATTGCTGTGGCCACAATATGGATTGCTACTCCTAAAATAAAGGCAAGCTTCTATTCAATTTATAGCACTTTATTATATTACCACTGAACATTTTGATGAAAATTATTTTCAAGACTAAACACGTAACTGCTGTTCTATTGACCCTTGATCATAGATTAGAAATATGTTAAACCAAAGGATATTCTTTCTGATCTAAAGCAGCCCAGAGAACAGTGTTACTGGTTACTATGTATGTATGGTTCTGAAGTCTCAGAAGAATATATGTGAAGTCACCAGGTTTCAGTCCCAGCTCCCTGGCTCCATGCCCTTACTCTGGTGAGAACACTAAAGCTCAAGAGTAAGCAACAGTAAGAAGCATGAACAATCCACCAACTCAGGAATCCACTTGAAAATCAATCAAAAGTTGTCTGTACACCAAATCAATGCATGATGAAGAAAGTTTACCTCCTATCTCCCAAAAAGTGATAGGGACCGTGGCTTGTATCTTTCAGAATACCTAGTAAATGGTAAAAGGATGATTTACCATTAAATCACTAAGGTAAAAGTTTTCTCTTCAAGTGTTAAGTGTGAATGGAGTGATAGCTTCTGTGTATCAGCTACACACCAGCTTTGAAAGAAATACATAATATATGAGCCTGGAAATTTCTTTTCAACTCATTTTTTTCCAGCTCTCTGCTTCCAAGTAGGACTATAATACAGACTTTTTAGGTAAAACTCTGCTATATTTGGCATAAATGTGAGGAGGTGGCAAAGTTTATTTCTGAAGACTTGTAAGTTTATCTCCCTCCTGGTAGATATCAGTCTGCCTACTTACCATTGCAGTATTCATTCTGAATGATCATGTGGTCATCTTCTGCCCATGAGGAGTAGTAACGCACCACGTGGGGGTGATGCCCAAGCACTGCATGAGCATAAACTTCATGCAAAGCCAAATTCCTAAGAGACAGGAAAGCATTGAAGGGGGAAAAAAATCAAGATAATATATATAAACATTTTTAAAAGACAGGATATTATTAACAACGGCAAAACATTTATCAAGCGCTCTCTGCTTGCTAACTATTTTATCCCATTTAATCTTCATAGTTACTTGGTAAGATACATTGGGAAGGATGAAGACCCTAGAAAGTAAGTGGCCCAAAGTCAAAGAGGTAGTAATAGACTTAAGACCAGAACTTTTGTCAGCCTGGTACCAAAGTCCATAATTTTTTTTATTTTAACGGAGCATATGTAAAGAGGACCCTTAGGTGGTTATGCCTCAACAGCAGACATGCTTCAGGTCCTAATTTCATTGTAGCAAAGTCAAAACACCTTAACAGGTTTAACAAGAAGGCCACCATACATGTGGTTGTGGATATTGTGATGGGCCTTTGATCTTCTCTTTGAAGCCTAGACAGTCATTAGAGTCAATATTAAACTCAGCCAATATTATGTAGTCACAGGAACAGCCTTGGGGAGAGACATTCATTATGGGATGGGAAAACCCAACACAAGGAAAGAAAAATAGAGTACTTCATGAACTTCAGCATAAAAATAAAAAATTTGTAAGCCTATAATTTCAGATTCCACATGTTGAGTATTTTACCTTCTCAGTTCATAAAAAGCATTGGCTGAATCTTAAAATGTGTGTTTTCCTTGTGATCAAGGAAGAACTTTGGAACAGTTAGTTCTGGGAATGAAATATAAACTTTTGTTAATAGTTTTTCCTTGCATTGTAGTATCTGAAACTTGACTATTGAATTCATTAATACAAAATAGAGAAAAACCAGTGAGTTAACTTCCTTCTCAGCAATATTTCTGATGAACTAAACGGACATCAGAAGACCATTCCATGAAGCTATTCACTTTAAAAAGGCAGTAAGACCAGCAGTAGAAAGTAAAAGCCAAGAGATCCACAAAAAATATAACATGATCTGAAGTGATCAAGTTGTATTTTAGGAAATAACTTATCACTGATCTGGAAAACTCAGAAAGGTTATGAATGTTAGAGAACATACAATGAGGGGACTGATTTTTTTAAAGTAATCAAAATGGTTCTAATGACATCAGTGCTATTATTTAAAATATTTTGACAAGAACCAGCTCTCCAAACCCAAGCTTGTACTTCTAGTCCATTTCAGAGGGTACTCACTCATTTGATAATTCTGCAAAAGATTTCATAGAGCGCTTTATTGCATAAACACATCCATCCAGCCTCTTAATGCACTTGTAGACTGTACCAAATTCACCAACCCCGATTTTTTCTACCTCCAAGAATTCTTTTTCATAGCGGGAAGCCATGTTGGTTTCTCGTAGAACACATCTCTAAAATATTTTAATAAAAAGAAAATTAGAATAATTCTAACATTGTGAGCAATAAAATTGAACCATATTACATTCCTAACTTGATCTAAGTTTTCAAAAAGACTGTTGAGGCAAACGCAATGAATTCTATCTGTGTCAGTATTTATGGTAGCAAGAATCTCCCCAATTGCTGAGTACTTTCTGTGTTCTTTGTAACTTTCCATACAACTCTATACCAACCTTTCTCTCACATAATTTTCAATATTATTTTCTCTATCTGGTCATACTGTTCTTCTCTATATGTTCCTACAGGGGACATATCTTCACACACCCAGAGCTACTGTCTTCAGAATGGCTGGGACCAGGGGGGAGCATGTTTTTTGGTTTTTTGCTGTTTTTTTTTTCTTAAAGACCTCCGTTCTCTACTTATCACAAAGTTTAGGTGCTAATAATTCCACCTCAAGTCGAATAAAGGTGCTTTTTGTTTTCCCCAAAATTTTAGTTTAGGGAACAAAATTGTCAAATTGATTAGTTCAGAATGTGTGCTCAGGTGTAGCGACCTCTCCCCCTACTGGCCAACTAGCAACATCACTCATTGCCCAGCTAGTGTAATAAATAACCCCAGGCAAATCATTGAACTCCTAAAGGAATTTTCTCCTCTGTAAGACGAAGATCATAGCAATACTCCTCAGAGTTCTTTTACATATTATATGAGAATATACACTGTAGTTTTAAATATTATATGATAATATACATTATATTACATACATTTTATGTAATATATATCTTAGTATAATGCCAAGCACATAGTAAATTCCCAGTAAACTATTATGACCAAAATCTCCATAAATGTATATGAATCTAAATCCAAGGAGATTTATCTCTCCCAATGGCATCTTTTCCCAGTGTCCCAATTAGGAATACTTTTCATCTTCTAACCTTAGGAGTTTGAAAAATCTTGGTTCTGACTACCTCTTCGTTTTCAACACCTAATTCCAATCCAAGATCTATTCCAAAGCAAGATGTATAATTTTCAGTGCCCTTAGCCAGTCTCAAGCTCTGTTTCTTCCATGTCTGAATTTGCTACAGCTACCAGCCCCTCTCCAATTCCTCTAATAGTAAGTTATTTTTGCAAAATAATATCATACAATTAGAGATACCTAATTGTCTACCATGAGAAATTCAAGCGTCTGTTAAGAGGCCTCAAGGCCTTCTACCAATTGCATACCCACTACCTTACCACCCTCCCCTCAGATAGTAAAGAAACCAGTGTGCCATCCACATCCCTCCCTGGCCACCCACCAGCCTACCCTACCCCTCTCATACATAAAACCCATTTTCCTGCCTTCACAGCATTAAAAGTTATTTATTTCCTTCACCTAGAATTATCTTAATATATTATCTCTTCTACTGAAGTCTGGCTTCCTACAATAAGTATTTTTATTAACCTGCCATATAGATTTTAAATATATACATGTATGAGTATTTATATACACATTACACATATGTACATACATATATACCTACAAATACATACATCTTATAGCTTCAAATTTGTGTAGAGATTGTTTTGAAATTTCAAAGGTCTTAGCTCCTCTTGGGCAGTAACTTTCATATAGATTTTTTTTTCATTACAGGGTCTAACTAAATACAATGCTTTGCAAATATTGAATATTCAATAAATATTCTTGGCATTTCTATCTGAAACCAAGAGATAAGCTATAAAATAAGTCAGGAATAAAATCCAAAGGTAAATAGTGAAAGCGTAAGTCAGGAACATTTGCATGTGAAAGAAAGCCTAAGCCAGTGGCTTTCTTCCCTATGATGTTTACAATAGCCAAGTGCTAACATTTTAACATATTGACACATTTATGCAAGTAAACTAAAACTTGCTTCAGAAAACTTTAGAAATTTGAAGGAAAAACAAACTAAGTTTCCACCATTCAAAGACATTGAAATAAGTGATTATACTTCCATCTGATTAATTCTGTGATCAATGTGTCATACAGAGTTGTGATCATTCAGCATATAAAATTTTGAGTCTTTTTGTACACTGAATATTGAATATGGGCATGTTTTCATGATATTGTAAACATCTTAGTGGCAATTTAATATTCCACTTATTTAAAAATATAATTAACTCATAGCCATTCTTCTATTATCAGGCATTTAGCCCCTCTTTTTTTTTTTTTTTGCTATTACAGTAAACATATCTGGAGATAACATTTGCAGTATTGTTTTCTCAGGTTAAAGTATCAAATGAGGGATAGTAGATCAGGGATTGTGAACATTATAAAAATCAATAAATACTGGCATACTTAAGAGTTAAAGTTTTACATATAAATGTATGGCTCTATGCCCTTTTTTTTCCTATTCCATTTTTCCATTTTGATACCAGAAATACCCGATTTTCCTTTCACTTCTCTACTCCAGGAGTGTAGAATATTTATACAGATCAAAGATAGAAGCAGAAATCTTTAATTTAAAAATACTCTAAGGTAATGATTCAGCAATATACATATCAGACACTGCCTGGCAAAGTAACAACTAGCTAAGAATATAGACCCAGACTGGAGTCTAGACAAATTCACCTACAGTTGTAAAGCATTTGTAAAGCTATAGAGTGAGTGTGTGAGTGTATGTGTGGTGTGTGTGTATGTGTGTGTGTGTGTGTGAGAGAGAGGGAGAGAGTGAGAGAGAGAGAGAGAGAGAGCACACGCACAAGCAAAAGTGAGAGAACATAGAGGAGAGAGAGAAAGAGGAAGGGGCAAAATGGGAGAGGGGCCAGGGGAGGGGGCAAAGGGGCCAGGGAGGGAGAGAATAAGATAAAATGCCTATGTTGTGACAGCTGGACCAAAGAACCATGCTCACCTTGGCAGGCATCCCTTGTTCCACCTTGCATTCCTCTGGACCAGCTTCCTCACTTAAGGAAAAAAAAAAAGTTATATCAATGTATAATTAACACTTATTGAGCCTGGTACTGTGCTAGGTTCTGGGGTTACAAAAGCAAATAAGACAATTCCTTCCTCTCTTCAATTTATGTTTGGAGGCAGGGATAATCAGCAAATTTCAATACGAGAACGTAGCACAGAAGCTATCAAGGATACCATGGACAGCACCCAATTAATTATTCTGGGTAAAAAGCTTTCCCAAAAAAGAGGATATATAAACTAAGATGCTGAGAATGAGTAGAAACTAGCTAAGGGAAAGGAGGGTTTTAGCCAAGTAGAACACCATGTGTTAAGCTGGAGGCAAGAGAGTACAGAACATATGTGAAACTGTTAAGTGGGGATTATCCTCAAATGAGGAAACCAAGGCATAAAGAGGTTAAATAACTCTAGGTGATACAATGGAGCAAGTGGTAGAACTGGACTTGGAGCCAGGTCTGATGCGAAGGCATTTGTTCTTCACGGCCACTCTACACTCCCCAATACCACCCCTATTACCCAGAATTTAGCTTTGTACACAGTTCACAGATAGGCAGACTATAAGTAGAGCAGAATCAGCTCTAACTCTGGCTAAGATATTTTCAGTTTCTTTTTTTTTTTTTTTTGTTTTTGAGACAGAGTCTCACTGTGTTGGCCTGGCTAGAGTGCCGTGGCATCATCCTAGCTCACAGCAACCTCAAACTCCTGGGCTCAAGCGATCGTCCTGCCTCAGCCTCCCGAGTAGCTGGGACTACAGGCATGGGCCACCATGCCCGGCTAATTTTTTCTATATATTTTTAGTTGTCCTATTAATTTCTTTCTATCTTTAGTAGAGACGAGGTCTCGCTCTTGCTCAGGCTGGTTTTGAACTCCTGAGTTCAAACAATCCACCCGCCTCGGCCTCCCAGAGAGCTAGGATTACAGGCGTGAGCCACCGCGCCCGGCTTCAGTTACTTCTGAATACGCTTTAGTCACTGACAAACATCCTCTTTGGCATGACTAGTTGTATTCTGGATCCTTAAGCAAGATTTCGGCCAGCTATGGATTTTTCTTTTGTACAAGTACAAGGTAAAAATGGCAGAGGGCACTACATTCATGGAAATAAACTGATGCTGGATATTTGTGACTTCAATGTAATACTCCATTCTAATACTTTATAAAATACCACCACAATAAGGGGAAAAGTACTCTCTCAGAACCACTAAGTGAGGTTATGTTACTGAAGTGTCACCTCTTTCGTTGTCTGTTTTCTTTTTTTTGTTTTTTTTAATTTTCTGGGTTCAGTTGAGATACTAATGGTTTACAAAGACTCCTAAAGAGCTAAAACCAACAGAATTCTTGGTAACCAAAGTAGGCGGGTGTACTTGTGCTACAGTCCTGTTTATTTAAGTAAGATTCAGCGGATAGTGTTGAGAAAACCTATTCTGGCCACAAGACTGGTTAATATGTAGTCATTGATTTCAAAGAAACAACATAACACAGTCAGTGCTCTGCAGAGCTTAGGTTATTAGCAGTCCATTTATTTTACTGAGTACATTTGAACATAAATGACTGCCCCATGTCAGAGGTACTTCCAGTCTATAAAAAAGCCTTAAAGAGACATAGTAAAGAAATGTCCCTGAGTAACATGCACAATCCTTGTTTGCATGATTTCTACCTTTCAGTGGCCTGTGTGGAATAGTGCAGTTTGACTTTCCATTCTTTAGCACCTCTGGAAGCAACACTATCTTTTTCTCTTCAGCCAATCTTCCATCACCCACAGAGAAGTTCAAATCCTTGCTCTATAGCTTTCATCACCACCCAAGCTAGACTCAAAGCATCAATATATCCTTGAAGTGTGAACTACACCTTCTCCAACTGCTAGCCTCATGTTAACCAGGGGAGACCCCTTGAATGCAATTTCATTGCCCATTTAATTTCCTAATGGAAGTCGGAGATCTATTGTTTACTCTGTCCTGATCTTTCATAGAGAAGACATCTACAGAATGGAAAGATATTAGAATCTCTGTGCCAAAGCAGGTTAAAAATCAACATTGATATTTAGGGTGGGGAGAATATGTAAACATACCGATTTCATTCAAATAGAATTCTTGTTAATCTCACTTTAACTCTTTCCTCTTACTCTTCGACTATAGTAAGGTCGGTTCTCAAAAGTCATAAGCAATAGTACACTTACAGATCTCCTCGGATTTTCCTCTTGACACTGGATTGAAGGAATAATTTTCTATAGGACTCTGGAGTGAAGGGATTAATATTGACCAGAGCCAATGAGGCCATCTCATTCCTGAGGGGAACAGGTGTGAGCTTCAAATGCTTAGAGCCTTTGGAGGGAAGCTTCCCTGCTGGAGAAATCGCCAAGTGGCTCAGTGTGGTCTGAATGAGGAGGAGAAAAGGCAAGTCAGAAGAAGGTTACTAAAAAGACCTCTGTATCAGTTAGCTAGTTAATATCTGAGCCAAAGAACGTTATTGCTAAAAGGGCCCTTAGAAGTTACCTGGTTCAGTGCAAACTAGTTGCATTGTAACTGGTCCTCTTGTGAAAACTACGGAATCTCAGTCTCTACATCTAGATGTTCTGGTTCATGAGTCAACACAGGAATCTGTACTCTTGTTAAGCTCCACCCCTTTCCCCTGGGCAGTTCTGCTAGCTGACTATGAAAACCACCAGTTATAGTCTTACCTCCAGTTTTTAAAGATGAGACATTTAAGTTTAGACAAACAAAAGTGACTCTATAGAAGACCTGGTCCCTTGGTCCTTAGGTTCTCAGTTTATACTTTAACTTCCCCCTAATTATTCATTCAGATATTGGTGCCTACTTAGTAGCAGATGCACTAGATACTGAATGATACAGAGATAAATTCCAGTTCTTAAGGAATACATAGTCCATTAGTCAGAAGTTCATTATTTCAGAAATAATCACTTTGTAAGGGAAAGATTTCATGGACTATCTAAATGTGAAAAAAATACGTTTTTAATTTCATTTAAAATATAGCATTAAATGAGAAGAGCTCCATGAAGTGGGGTAAAGAGACTGAAAAACAGTACTCTAAAATAACCCCTTAAGATTCAGGGCTTTACAGAAGCTATAATTATAATAGCTACCAACAAATAGACAAATGTACAGGACTTACCACTCCAAGTGGGGTACAGAAAAAGGACATAAGCCTAAACCTAACCAGAACTAAATCAAAGGGCAAAGGGAAAAACCAAAGAATCCTGAGACAGCAGAATGCCATTATGACCCAAGTGTCAAGGGCCAGAGAAATACCTGTGTTATAGATTTTAGGAGTACAACAGCCCACATGGGGGCCATGAGGGAACCTCACAGTATACTCATTGCACTGTGGGACTCTTTCTAAAAGAATTCCATTGTTTTGATGCTCTCTGCCCATGACTTTTCAGTGTAGAAGCAGAATCCAGACTACAGTATGATTCATTAAATGAGTCTACAGAGAATGAATATTGGGCTTATTATAAATAATAAAGGATTAAATAAACAGAAACAAAGGAAGCTATAGAGTACACAGAGTAGCCTATGTTTTTAAGTGAAGAAAAAAATTCCATTGCCAGAGTAAAGGGTTTTACAGAAGTCTTGGATATCACAGGGTGAACAATCCAGGGGACTTGGTCAGATAAAGCCCTCACTGATAAACTCACAATTTTTCTGTGAGTTTATTATAAGGATTGGATGAGTATTTATTCAAAAACTATACAATGATATTTATCAGTTATTTATGTAATTAGGAAATGAACTTAGAATTATAGTAAATCATTCTCTGATAATTGTTTTTCTGTAATGCTGATTATCTTATGGAAATTAAAACACATCTGTCACATATGAAATTAGGGTACCTACACCTAGAATGCTGCACATAGTTCTGGCCACACCTCAAAGAAAATACAAGGAGCCTAGAAAATGTTTGGATAAAAAGAAATAAAAGTATTTTCCTATGAGACAATATCTGAATATCTAGTCTGGAAATATGAAGGCCAACAATCTGTGAGCTCTGTTTATGATGTGGAGAAGGATCTTATATTAATATGGACATTATGGCCAGAATGGTAGAAATATGGGTAATCTTTTTGAAATCTAAAAGAACATAGTTTGGGACAAGAAATATCAAAGGAAGTTCTTCCTGGAAGTAAAGCAGATTGAAATTTCTGGAAAGATGACACAAGTTTGGAATATAAATGTGCTCCAAAGAGTGTAGATAATTCCATAAGTAGCAGCTCTAGCACAGGTGATCAAAGGAGATAAGGGAAATTTAGGGGATAGCTTCTTGACATCTGAAAATGATCAGAGGAAAAGGCAACCTTCCACAAAGACACAAGATCATAGTATCTTGGAACTAGGAAGGACTTTAAAGGCCTAACTGGTACAATCAGTCCCCTGTTACTCAGATCTACAATGTTCCTACCAAGTGGTCATCAACTAGTGTTCAATTCATCTAGCCACAGGGATCTTACTACCTCCTAAAGATGCTCTTCTATTTGTAAATAATTCTTCCAGGAAGTTCTTATAGTGAACTGAAATCCATTTCACATAATTTTTAGTTCTATCCCTTGGACAAGGCTGAACTAAGCCAATTCTTCTTTCCTACATAGCCATGTCTTCAGCATAACAATCATCATCAGCCTAGCCTCTCTCCTCTGACCTTGATCCAAATTATATTTTCATGAGGTACATACTTTCTCAATTATTGTTCTAGTTTTCCTCGCAAGCCCTGTTCTCTGCCTGTCCCTTAAATCTCGGTATTATCCAGGATTTCTAACTTGGCCACTTTTCTCACTCTGGCACTCAGGCTACATAATCTTATTCCTACCCATGCCTTCAACAGCTTCCTAAAAAGAAATACTATATACTAATAATAGGTATCCAAATATGAATATCTCTAAATGAGGATATCAAATTTGGGTCTCCAGCTTTGGTTGTTTTCCTGTGTCCCAGACCCATTTATCCAATTATGTATACCACATTTCTGCTTTTTTCCAAACCTATACACCCTCAGGTGTCACCTGTCTTGATTCAAGATACCGTCTACTCAGTCAACCAAGCAAGAAACATCAGTCATCCCAGATTCCTCCTTTTTGTCTAACCCCTCCATCAAGTCAGTTACTAATCCCTAAACATTTCTCAGTTTTCCCTTCTCCACTACTGTCCTAGTTTAGGCCCTTCTCCATTCTCGACGGAACTATTGTGAATAGTGCCCTGCCTCCAGGCTCTCTCCTGCTCCATTCCATCCTATATACAAAGGTCATTTTTCAAAAATGCCCCTACTCAAAACCATTTAATTGCTCTCTCAGCATTTTCAGTATAAAATCTTGATCTACCTTCTGCCTGCCTACTCTGGCCCCATCTCCTGCACACTCACATACAGACCGTGTCGCATCGAATAACATGCAGTTTCCCAAGTATAGCATGCGCTTTCCCCTCCATAACTTGGTGGATGCTTTTCCCTTTGCCTGGAGTTTCCACTCCCTTCTTTTTCTGGCTAACTCCAAATCATCCTTTAAGACTTCTCTCAAACATTACTTTCTTTGGAAAGTCTTCCCTGATATTTTGAAACTTAATTCCTAATTTCATCTCATCATGCTCCACCATTCCTCTAGCACACATGATCTGAACTTCATTGTTTCGGTTGTTTATTCATTTTGGGGGCACTTTTTGAAGGCAGTGAATTGGTTGTGCCATCAGAGGGTCTGCTAGCACATCAAGGTGTTCAGTTAAGCTATGAGTGATTGGATGAATGGAGTGTACATACTATGTCATGTTTTCTTTTCTGTGTACTCTTAGAGGCACATTCTCTCAGCCCATTCTCCACTGTATATCAAAACTGTACCAACTTTCATTGTCCTTCTTAGGCTTCCTTCGTCTCTGTTTCTTTCCTGATCACTCCACTCAGAATCTGCCCAGAGAACTCTGACCACTCTTGAAGCACTTATTACGTAGTGTCTATTGGCAAAACTCCTCTCTCTCTGCTAGACTATAAGCTCTTTGAGGGAATAGACTGTGTTTTATGTAACTTACCTACAGTGGGTTCTCATAAAATAAATGGAGGATTGATTGGTTGGTATCATGACCATGGAAAGAGCTGCAGGTGGACACCTGAGCATATTAGTTTGTCTACAGTTCAGACAAAAAGTTTAGTGTTTCCTGGTAGGCTTGGTACCCACACTCAGCAGGTACTAAAGAGACCCACTGGCAATGACTGTGCTGCAATCAGGGTCACAGATGTTACTATGATGATCTTAAGTACCTCAAGCTGAGCCAGCAGGAAGCAGAGATAATACCCATCCTAGAAAGTACACACTCTGGCACCAGAATTCACTAGAGGTAACTCTGCCCCAAACCTAGCTTTAATAATATAATCGATGTAACAGGAGGCCAATCCCAGCAAGAATAAAGTGATATGCTTACTATTAGGAACCTTTGCTTCTTTGTCATGCTCAGTTTAAAGTGTCAACAAGTTTCCTCTTTGCTCATGTATAATAGAAGAGCCTGTGTTTCATTAGAACAAGGACGGGAGAGGAGTTCCTTCTAGGAATAGCAGCAGCAAAGAGTTATGAGTATGTTCAAATAGTGAATGTGGACATTCTTAAGTTAGGAAATATCAGTAAATAATCATACAAAAATAGAGCCATTTGGTGTAATGGAAAGAATAGACTAAACCCAGAAGATCAGGTTTCTGGTCTTATCTCTGCCAATGGCTGAACTATAAGATAGTTTATCTCTTGGGGTGATTGTCTCATATGTAAAGTGCGCAGGTGGGGCTCTAGACCTTCCAGTTCCAATACTGTTTATCTAGGAACTTTTTTCTACCCAAGATTTATTTGTGGCCAATAGCAAAAAGTTAACTGGCACCAGTGGTTTTAAGAAGACAACTGGCAAGACATTTATTTGTTTTCTGGTAACTTTAAGCTCTTGTTCATTTTCACCAATAAATATACAATTAAGGATATATGCAGCCTGTGAGGTAAATCTGTCACATACAAGTGAGTGTTTCTCTAGCAGCTGGACTGAAGGAAAACAGAGCTTGGCAACTTGGGTCCCTCTTTCCCCACAACTTACTTACTTTTGGAGTAGAGGGACTGTCACCATGTGGCAGCTTGCTCCTTTTGTCTGGTTGGGCTGGTGTCTCAGGACATGTTCGAGGGTGTGACTCTGGAGTCTTCAAAATCTGATCTGGACTTTCTTTATCTTTTTCCTGAGATGTGTCAAGTTCGTGTCTGTGAAAGGGAGTCCTGGGTGGTGTGAGCTTTGCCTCCAAGTCCTGGACTTCACCCTTCTCTGAAGTTTGGCTCTCGGCCTCCCTGCTCTCTTGTGCTTTCCTCTGCCCTTCATTCTCAGTCTCTTCTTCAACACAGGAAAAGTTTAATTTCTGTCTCAGTTCTTTGTTAATATCTTTGTCATCCATCTCAGCCAAAGAGCTTTACAACATAGGTAAGATGGTCTATCACAAGGAAACACTATGAATCTACAGGAGGAGAAAAGAATTTAACCAAGTTTCACAACTCCAGCTTGCCTTTCCCTCTATCGACTAACAGCTGTGAGACACAGTGTTAATTTTCTCCCTTAAGTACCATGGATCTGTAAGACCTCAGCTTATCCATATTCCCATTCTGATTAAAGAAAGCTCCAGTAACTTTTGAGCAATTAAATCCAATTTATGTGTAGAACCTTTCCGGATACCCCACAGAGTCTCTCTGAACCCATGTACTACAAAATACTAGTGAGAAAATTGGATTTCTTTAATTCAGCGTGGCTTTAAAAATACTCATTAACCAATTTGGGAAGAAGCTCATTATTAAAAAGAAATTATTTTCAGCCTTTTACACCTGCCATTTATAAATATCATCCTCTTCTCCCTTCTACACCTCACCCACCCAGTGGCTAGCAGCAGGCAATTAGAATTTAGCATCACCTGGCTATCATAATGATCCTTAAACAGCCTCTAACATATCTTGGCTGGAGTTCATATCCCTGATGGAGACACACCTTAGATCTTTGCCAAACACACCTGCCCTATTTCAGGTATCCTCCCTCTCCCAGCTATTAGCAGTTCCAGCTTCTAGAGAATGGAACAAAATTTTAAACGGACAAAAGAAAGACTAGAAAGATCAGCAACACATAGAAGCAGACAGTGGTCACTTTAAAATCGCAATTGCTGTTGGCAAAAAAACCTTATTTTGTAAAATGCTTTTTTCTTACTGTTATCTTTAATATACATTATTTAATTTCTTTCTCAGAGAAGCCCCCATGGAAAGGGTAAAAACTTTTTAGAGGAAAAAAAACTGAACTATCATATTATTTAACAATCCCTCCTCTGGGTATATATCCAAAGGAAATAAAATCCCCATCTCAAAGAGATAGCTGCACCCCCGTGTTCCTTGCAACATTATTCACAATAGCCAAGATATGGAAACAAGCTAAGTGTCCATTGATGGATGAATGGATAAAAAAAACTGTGGTGTTTACACACGCGTGTGCGCACACACACACACACAGGAATATTGTTCAGCCACAAAAAAGGAAATTCTGCCATTTGTGACAACATGGATGAACCTGGAGAACATTATTAAGTGAAATAAGCCAGACACAGAGAGACAAGTACTATGTGATGTTGCTTATATGTGGAATCTAAAAAAGTTGAATTCATAGAAGCAGAGAGTAGAATGGTGGTTACCAGGGTCTGGAGGGGTGGAGGAAATGGTGAGATGTTAGTCAAAGGGTACAAACTTTCAGTTATAATATGAATAAGTTCTGGGGATCTAATGAACAGCATGGGTAGGCATGGATATGTTAATTTGCGATAATCATTATACAATGGATAGGTATATCAAATAAAAAAGAAAAAACTTACTGATAATCATTTTATAAAAGAAAACCATGTGAGAGGCAGTCCATGAAAAATGAAAATGAGGTGGAGCAAGATGGCCATATAGAAACCTCCAGCAATCATCCCTCCACATGAACACCAAATTCAACAACTATCTATTCAAACAAGCACCTTCAGAAGAACCAAAACTCAGGTGAGCAATTGTACTACCTAGTCATAACATTATATCAAGAAAACAGGCACTGAAGAGGACAAAAAAGACGATCTTGCATTGCCTATGTCACCTCTTAGCCCTAAGCGAAGTTACTGTGGGGCTTTGTGTTGTACTGAGCACCACCCTGGCATGGGGGAACACAGAATTCTGCCTGTGCCCACAGAGGGAGCATTTAGACCAGCCTGGCCAGAGGGAATTCCTCCACCCCCAAACCTAAGTTCTGGCTAGCCCCACCACTGGCTGACAAAAGGTAGCCCGGAGCTTGGACTAAATTCTTAAGGCAGTCAGGCCACAAAGGCTGCAGTCCTTGGGCAATTCCTGTGGCTATGCTGGCTGGGACCCAGAGGACCTGGGGTGCATGTGAACTAGTGAGACACTAGCAGCTGCAGGCAAGCCAGGATGTCACCCCTCCCCCAACTACAGGTAGCTTGGCTCAGGGAGAGTCTTCTTCCATTTAAAGAAAGGGAAGAGCTGAGAGGACTTTGTTTTGCTACTTGGGTAGCAGCTAAGCCACAACAAAATAAAGTACCAAGTAGACTCCTGAAGCCCCTGAGTCCAGGCCTTAGTTCTTGTATGACATTTCTGGATCTATACTGGGCCAAAAGGAAACATGATGCCCTAAAGGGAAGGAACCAGTCCTGGCAGGATTCTCCAGTTCTCCACCTGCTGACTAAAGAGCCATTGGGTTTTGAATAATCCTCAGAAGTAGCCAGCTAGTGACCACAGGCTTTGGGTGAGACTGGGCTGGCTTCAAGTGTGACCATGAGGGAGTGCCCACATCACTCCTCCCCCAACTCCAGCAGCCCAGCACAGAAGGTGAGGGAAGAGAGTGAGAGACTTTGCCTGGTAATCCAGGGAATTCTCCCATGTTTTATCCAAGTCCACCAAGGTAGTACCACTAGGAGTCTGCAAGAGTCATTAGTAGGCTTGGGGCACCCCCGGTGCTGATACAACTGCAGTGACCAAAGACTCAGATCACAGCACTCAATTCCCTTTGAATACTTAGAAAGTCTTCTGAAGAAGGATAGGTTCAAATAAGCCCAGACTGAAAATTTAAATAAATACCTAATTCTTCAATACCCAGCCATCAATGAACATCTGCAAGCATCAGGAACATCCAGGATGACATGACCTCACCAAACCAGCTAAATAAGGTACCAGTGACCAATCCTAGAGTGATGGAGAGAGATGACCTTTCAGACAAAGAATTCAAAGTAGCTGTCCTGAAGAAGCTAAGTGAACTCAGGACAACACACTGAAGGAATCCAGAAGCCTGTTAGAGAAATTTAACAAAGAGATTAAAATTGAAAAAAAAATCAAGCAGAAATTCCAGAGCTTAAGAATTCAATTGACCAACTGAGAAATACACCAGAGTCTCTTAATAGCTGAATTGACCAAGCAGAAGAAAGAATTTGTGAGCTTTAAGACAGGCTATTTGAAAATACACAGAAGAGAAAAAAGAATAAATGAGAATGAAGTATGCCTACCAAGACCTGGGAAATAGCCTCAAAAGGGAAAATCTGAGAGTTATTGGCCTTAAAGAGGAGGTAGAGAGAGAGATTGGGGTAGAAAGTTTATTCAGAGAAATAATTACAGAGAACTTTCCAAACCTAGAGAAAGATAACAATTTTCAGGTACAAAAGGTCATAGAATACCAAGCAGATTTAACCCAAACAATGCTACGTCAAGGCATTTAACAATCAAGCTTGCAAAGGTCACCAATAAAGAAAAAGTCCTAAGAGAAGCGAGAAAAAAGAAAACAATAAATAACGTATAAAGGAGCTCTAATACATCTGGCAGCAGACTTCTCAGTGGACACCATTCAGGCCAGGATAGAGTGGCATGACATATTCAAAGTGCTGAAAGAAAAAAACGTTAAGCCTAGAGTATTATATATATCCTGCAAAAATATCCTTCAAACATGAAGGAGAAATACCTTTTCAGACAAACAAAAGCTGAGGGATTTCATCAACACCAGACCTGTCCTACAAGAAATACTAAAAAAGAGTTCTTCAATATGAAAGAAAAGGATATTAAAGAGCAGTAAGAAATTATCTGAAGGTATACAACTCACTGGTAACAGTAAGTACACAAGTAGAGAATACTCTATTGTTGTGTAATTGTGGTATATAAATCACTTATATCTTGAGAAGGAAGACTAAAAGACAAACCTATCAAAAATAACTACAACTTTTTGAGAGATAGATAGTATAAAAAGATATGGATGGAAACACTAAAAAGTTAAAAAGTGGGAGGAGGATGGAGTTAAAAGGTAGAATTTCTGCTAGATTTATCTTTGCCTGTTTGTAAGCAGAGTTGTCATGTTTAAAATAATTGGTTATCAAATTTTTTTGCAAGCCTCATGGTAATCTCAATTCAAGAAACATATAAGAGATATAGAAAAACTAAAGAGCAAGAAATTAAAACAAACTGTAGAGAAAATAACTTTTAACACAGGAAGACAGGAAGGAAGAAAGAGAGAACCACAAAAAAACCAGAAATCAAATAACAACATGACAGTAATAAGTCCTTACCTAACAATAATAACAACGGATGTCAATGGAATAAACTTTGCAATCAAAGACAAAGAGTGGTTGAATGGATTTTTAAAAAAAGAGCCAATTATTCTATGCTGTCTGTGAGAAACCTACTTTACCTATAAAGATATACATAGACTAAAGAGATGGAAAAAGACATTCCATGCAAATGGAAACCAAAAAAGAGCAAGAGTAGCTATACTTCCGTTAGATAAAATAGATTACAAAACACAAACTGTAAAAAGAGACAAAGAAGGTCATTACATAATGATAAAATGGTTAATTCAGCAAGACGATATAACAAACATAAATATAAATATTATAAATACACATACACCAACAATGGAGCAACCAGACATATACAGAAAATATCATCAGAGCCAAAGCGTCGAAGACCTCAATACTCCACTTTCCACATTGGACACATCATCCAGTAAATCAACAATGAAACATTAGACTTAATTTGCATGATAGACCAAAGTGACCTAATAAATATTTACAGAACATTTCATCCAACAGCTGCAGAATACACATTCTTCTCCTGAGCTCATGAATCATTCTTAAGGGTAGACCACATATTAGGCCACAAAACAAGTCTTAAAAAATTAAAAAAAAATTGAAATCAAGTATTTTCTCTGATAACTATGGAATAAAACTAGAAATCAGTAACAAGACGAACATTGGCAAACATACAAGCATATGGAAATTAAACAATATGCTACTGAATGACCAGTGGGTCAGTGAAGAAATTAAGGAGGAAATTTAAAAATTTCTAGAAGCAAATAAAAATGAAAAAACAACATATCAAAACCTGTAGAACTCAGTAGGAGCAGTAATAAGAGGAGAGTTTATAGAAATAAGTACCTACATCAAAAAAGTAGAAAAGCTTCAAATAAACGATGTAACAATGCATCTCAAAGAACTAGAAAAGCAAGAGTAAACCAAACCCAAAATTAGGAGAAGAAAAGAAATAATAAAGATCAGAGCAGAAATAAATGAAATTGAAACAAACATACAAAAATCAATGAAACAAAAGTTGGTTTTTCAAAAACATAAACAAAATTGACATACCTTTAGCCAGACTAAGAAAAAAAGAGAGAAGACATAAATAAATCAGCGATGAAAAAGGAGACATTACAACTGATACTGCAAAAATCCAAAGGATCATTAGAAACTACTATGAGCAACTATATACTAATAAATTGGAAAACCTAGAAGAAATGGATAAAT